TAGTGAGCCCAAGAATGATGCTTGTGAATTACTTGTTGATAATGGCATTCCCATCACTAACATTACTAACATTTGTAATCGTTTTAATAGTTACTTCACAACTATAGCTGATAACTTGCTAGGTACCAGTCAAATTGATGCTGTTCAGTTACACCAATATCACTCGATGGAAAACTATGAAATAAAATTTCAGTTCACATGTCCTCAGTGTACAAATGATGAAATTAATCTTATTATCGACAATCTAAAAAGTTCAAAATCTTGTGATGTCTTCGGTATTTCGAATATGTTTGTAAAAATCCATAAAGATGCTTTAGCTCCGATACTTACTAATCTCATTAATCAGGCTATGTTTGCAGGCATATTTCCAGAGAGTCTCAAGCTTGGATTTGTAACGCCAATATTTAAGAAAGGAGATCGCACCAATAAAGCCAATTATAGGCCAATTACTATACTGCCAATCTTCGCAAAAGTGTTTGAATACGTAATTCTAAGAAGACTGGAAGAACATTTTCACAACAATAATATCATACATAAAAATCAATTCGGCTATGTGAAGAGCTCCAACACTGAATTGGCAGTTATTCACATTCTTGACAGAGTATACTCCTCAATTGACAACCGTAAATCGACAGCTTTAACTTGTCTGGACTTAAGTAAGGCGTTTGATTGTGTTCAACATGACATTATTCTTAACAAACTAAGAAAAACTCAATTATCGCAGTCTTTCATGGATCTGCTTAAATCATATTTCAATGAAAGAAGCCAAACTGTAAGACTAAACAACATCTTAAGTGACATTCTGGTGTTGAACAATGGAACTGCGCAAGGAGGTGTACTTTCTGGTCCCTTATTTGATCTTTATGTCAATAGTTTGAATTTTCTTGATCTCCATTCTTCTATGTATCTTTATTGTGACGATATTTCAATAGTCTCAAGTGCCGATGACCCTTCGCTCCTGAAATCCAGCATTAAACATGATCTTGCATTGATCTCAGAGTGGTTCAAATTTCATTTTCTGTTCCCAAATATAGAAAAATCAAAATACCTCCTATTTCATAACAGAAGAAGAAATGAGTTCTTCACTGAACAATCACTGGACTTGACTCTCAATGACATCATAATCGAAAGAGTAGAACACATAAGACTTCTTGGTCTTGAAATTGATGAAAATTTAAATTTTTTTCACCACATTAAAGACATAAAATCTAAAATCGTTCCTTTCACTTTTGCTCTTCGAAGGATGCGCCATCTAATCACAGAAAAGACTGCTCTTCTTATGTATTATGGATATATCCAATCACGTATTATGTATATGAGTCCGGTATGGTCTGCAGCTCCGAAATATTTAATAGAATCGGTTGAAATTGCACAGAGAAAAGCACTTCGAGTTGTATTTAAAAAAAATTGGGATTGTAGCCGAACGGAACTGTACTCTCGACAGATTCTCCCAGTTTCATCCCTATGCAATCTATCCTCAAATCTCCTCATGTTTAAAATCATCAACCACACTGCAAAAATTAATATTGAGCTTCAATATGTTCATGAAATTCACAATTATCCTACACGAACAAGAGATTTACTGGTATTGCCTAGTTACAATACGATATTCTGTTATTCAAATTTCTTCATAAGAGGTCTAGATTGTTTTAATCAGCTACCTGCTATTATAAAAAAGCAAGTAGCAATTAGTAGATTTAAAACGAAGCTTAAAGAACATCTTTATGAAGCCATTAAGGGTAGTGACAATATAACGTAAATACCAAATTATACAAATTTACATGTTAAATATAAATTAGTTTGAAAAAGCTTATATATGAAATAAAGAACCAATTAAAAAAAAAAAAAAAAAAAAAAAATCTGCTTAATCCTCTCTCATGTTTGTTTATTTGTAAAAAATGATTTTTTTTCTTGGTTAAATAATTTTTCATTTTCATTGTGGTTAATTTTAGTGAATTTTTCAAAGTCTTTCCGTCCAAAAAAAAAAATTCCATTAAGATCTAAAGTACGAAGTGAATGGACTTGATTAATACTGCAAATTTCACATAAAAATTTCGTAATATATTTCCAGACTTATTATACATAATTTATTACAATTTCCGTACGTTTGGGGATTATCAAGCAGGTTTTTAAAACTGCGAGAAGTTCATAAATATTTTTTGGACTCGAATAAATGTCGAGAATGTGAGATACAGACACAATTTATTGTTCAATGCTGCAAACTTAACTTTTTAACAAACAATTCAGTTCCAATGACATTCAAAACAAAGAATTGAAATCCGATCACTGTAATTTGATGAAATAATTAGAGACTTTATGTGAAGGACGTATGGCAAATAATATTTTGATTTAATTACGTAATTAATGAGATTATAGTCCATAATACGAGTAATCATGTTAAATCAAACTCAATATTTGAAATGCCACATAATTATTGGGTCCATTCACTGAATATTTCGGTTACAAATACTTGAGTGAAGTATTTGCTGCAGGCTGCTGTAACAAAAATATCTTTGAAAGTAAGTTCGGACCGAATATTTGATGTAGATATGAAGTTGCATGATATGGATATAAATTCTACGATTAACATTCACTTTGAGATTCTGTCACTTTTTTGGAAATGAACAATTTAGAAATGAAAGTATCATGCCTGTGGTTGGTCGGTACAAAATAATTTAGATTGCATGGTCATCGATGGTCATGTTTCTCTTTATATTTTAATTGCTTTGATTAATTTTTTTGTGGGCTGAATGTTTTTTTTTTTGGTTGATTGGAACTAATTTCTCGGGGATTGCCTTATGCTTATCTTGAATATGTAAGTTGAAACTTTGGTGGCATTTAAGTATGTCAGAAGAATTATTGAGATTATTGTCGGATTATGTCTATGCGTCAGATTAAATTTTTTGGTAGATTTGATTGATGTTTGGGTGGCTTCAAAGCTTCAATGGATGCAAATTGTTTTTTAATCGGAAATTGTTTGATTTTTGCGATGATAATTTGAAGGGTTAGCAACATTCTCTGTCTTAAATTGACCTTTATACTCTAAATTGGAAGCAAAATGTCATTGAAGCTGATGCTACAGGAAGAAAAGGGTTTGATAAGGGTCACATTCGCGTGTGTTCAGAATTAGGGAGTTCCAAAATAAGGAAAAATAAGTTTTTGGTATTCAGATCAAGTTAGATTCAAAACTGCATTGCAGCCAATGATATTAATGCTTGACTTACATTTGTTCAATGGGATCTGAATCATTTATTTGAAAACAGTTCTGATTTTAGCTTTAAATAGAATTATATGAGCTTCGTATGGTTTTGAAAGATTGCACATGAAAAATATCCTTGATCCCGTAATCACCATATTGGTATGACAATAATTACGTACTAAAAACCAAACCATTAAGCCGGCAAGCCCTGAAAAGATTTCTCGATCATCAATTTGTTATGCAACATCACCATGCATCCACATCAGTTTTATGACACACATTCTCAAAATCAGCATACAGTTCTTCAATAAAGCCTCACTCAATAGACAATTCACAATTAATTTTGGTCTTTAAAAAAAATACAATTTTCATCCATAAATGTATCAGTGTGGGTCACATGTACCTGAATGAATTTAACTTTCATAAAAAATTCAATAATTTCGTAACTGTAAAAGAATATAAAAATTGCGTGATAAGACATCATCTGTAAGGTAACCACTCGAAGAAAAAAAAACCGAATTGAGAACTGCTGAGATTCTTTCAATCCCAAAACCACAAATAATTTCTTCTTTTTTTAATACAAAAGAGCATAACACATGTCGTGATTTTGCCAAATGTTTAAATATCGTTACGAAATCATTTTTTTTAGAAAAGTGCTTAATAGACATCGTCTTTATGCTCGTGAAATATCAAATGTCCAATTTGTGTTGAATTGGAAATGAGAGAAAGATGTGAAGAAAAATGCTGTGAATTAATTGAGCAGCAAAAGAAACAGTTGCGATTCTTTGGCTTTATTGACAACTTAAGGAATGTTGAAGAATTTCATGGGACATAAGAACAGAAGCAGTAAACAGATAGAAACAGAAACAAATGGTGAAAGAAGATGAAAGAACTTACAGCCACGGGAGACATGAGGCAATCATCTTCATAACTAATTATCATTCTTAAATTGTACCTTTCTTGCATGTATTTGTATGTAAAGCAAGTATAATGCACATATTATACTGTCGATTGAACGTAGTAAGACTCGAGAAAGAGATATTTTACTTTTTCAAGCATGTTTATGCATATAATTGCCCAGTAGACACACATTAAAATGAATGTCATGTGGAAAAGAAAGAAAATTATTAAAATGAAGTGGATGAAGCATAGATTGTGGACTATTGGAGCGCATTTTTCTTCTTTTCAATAATTTAACGAACTTTTAAGATTCGAAATTTTCAAAGACACATTTTAGCTAAGACACATTCAAAATAAAGAAATTTTTCTCCATCTCAAAATATTTTTTGTGATTTTCAAAGCGATTCCGCATTATTCTCTCAAAACCAAGATCTAATCTTAATCTATAAAGTGGCAACGATCAAATACAAAAAGTTTGACCATTCAAACTTATTTAATCTCAAAAATAGAGCAATAATGAAATATTTAACCTCAACCAATCCCTAAGACTCAATATAAGTCACATTTATATTCAAAATATGAGTTAAAAATATTTATATGTACGAACATTTGTGTACATAAATTAAAAAATAAGGTAAAGTCAAGATATAGAATGGAGGCAAAAGATAATTTATTCTCTCACGGCGTAACTTTCAATTCTTGTTATAATAACAATTCTGTTGTTCTTATGCTTCTTCTTCTTACCAATAATTATGACAACATGCTATACAGCAATAACATATCCTATGTTACACATATTTTCTTGTTGTTCGGAAGTTCGAATTAACACGAAAGTCAGTTTTTATTTCATATTTTTTATTCATTCCTTTTCTTATTTCTTGTCATTTTTTCTTCAATATAGGAATACGACAAGTGGAAGTTTCTCACCGATAATGTCGACTTCATCATCGTCTCAATATCAACCGACATCATTTCAACAGCCATCATCACTTCATCACAATGAGATGAAAATGGACTCAAAATCGACAGTAAATGCAAATTTACCTCCAAATCAAAGACCACAGAAACCGCTTAGTCCACAAACTAGTGTAGGATTGCCAGCATATCATTCAAATTCTTCTAATGCATATCAACAGCATAATTTTCCAACAAAAAATGCACTGTATCAACACAATTCAACAATGTCGGGTCAGCAATCACTGCCACAAATTCCATTACCAAATCATCAGACACAATTTTCACATAATTTTCCATCAAGTCGATTGATTGGACATTCGTCAATAATGGGACATCATCAATTGGATATCAACAGGCAATCACAATCCGATGATGATAGTGGATGTGCTTTAGAGGAATATACTTGGGTGCCGCCTGGCTTACGACCTGAACAGGTATGTTTTTTTGACACTTTTTATTGCCAAACTCATCAATTATAGACTTATAAAAATTGGCCACAATAAAAGAATAAGAAATACTTTTGATTTATGCATACTCAGCATGATTGAGTGATCTGAATGGGCAAAATCGAGTGTTAATCAATTTAATTGAATTTTCCACTTTACTGCTTTAAGATGATGTTCAAAGATTTTTTGTTTCACATTTGTGGTTAAATTAAAAGCATTCCAATGTGTAATCGTAATGGCTGCAAGACAACGCTTGTATCGACTTCACGTTATGCATTTCAATCGAATGATGACTCTCTGGAAGAGGAAATTAATTTTCAGTTAAAACTTTAAGCACGATGTGCTTCAGCAGAATCTTTTATCTTGATCATTTTGTCGGATTTATTGCGATTTTGCTGAGGAATATGAATTAGTTTATAAATGCATTGGGTTAGCATCAATTCAACTGAGCTGAATATTAAGCAGCTCAGCTATGCTGAATAAGGATCAACTCAGCTCAGCTGAATAAGGAGCGATCCAGCTAAGCTGAATAAAAGACAATTCAGCTTAACTGAATAAGAATAAATTAAGCTCGTCTGAGTAAGAAATATCTAAGATGATTGACTCAATTATCAGCTAAGAAAGAATCAATTCAGTTAAGCTGAATAATAAGCTATCATTAAATCAATCTTTCGCATTTCTATCTGCAAAATAACCCAATTAAATACAAAATCAAAGGAAATGTTACTTTCGATCTTTATTGATCATATCTACCTATTCATTATGCGAAAAAAAACTGTAAAGCTTAAAGCGCTTCCGTCACTCACATCAGCACATGAACAGCTACAATACCAGTTTTTTTCCATTCTTCTCGCTTTATTCGCATCTAATGAATTTTGATGATATGAATCACATTACATATACTGAAACAATGTAGCTTGCAATTAGATGCGAAGAGAGCAACTTAATGATTGGAAAAATCTGTGTCGTATGCGATGTGATTTGCTCTCGATACATTAAATACTAAATAGGCAATCATTTTAATTCGAATTTCTCGGTCTCTTCCTGTCCTCTGATACATTTTCCTTCCTTCTTATTACTACGTACCCCAGCACAATCTGCTTAATAATATTGTGCGTGCGAACGAACATTTAATGTGGAATGTTTACTTTATAGCTTTGAAGATATATTCACCTATATGCGCTATTATTGGTGAGATTGTGTCACATATGAATAATAAATTAATGATGTCTAAGCTTCAAGCACTGAATATTATTAAACACGTCTCAGAGAAAGTTTTTTTTATTTTTGTGAGCTCAAAAAGGCGGCTGCTGCTGTTATTGTGAGAAATGGCATAGCATAAATTTACTGATATCGTATGTATGAAGCATATAACAATATTATGAATCCATTGCTTAAAGGTGCCTTTTATCCTCCTCTTTCTGTGCGCATTAATAACAACAGCAGCATCAGAAGCAAGCAGGCAATGGCAGAGTAGCAGCGATTTCGACCCGATGATAAAGCACAAAGGCATAATTTTAATGCCATTTCATGAAGGCTTTTTATTATACTTACTTACTCATTCACTGCCTTGAATGATGTTGGATGAATAAAAAAAATATGTGTAGCACAGAGTGAAAAAGAAGAAATGTGTAGTGAACGACAGTGAGAGATAAAAGCGATAAGAATTGTGCGATGTTATGTCGCAATTTCATTGAAGGGCCATCAAATTGTTAGTGTTGTAATGTTGACGATTTTTTTTGTGGGAAAATGTCATTATGGAAGAGTGATTGTGACGCATTTGGGTGTTTATTGAGTCCTGGATGACCTTTTAATTATTTTATTATATTATAATGGCTGTATTTTCTCATATAAATAAACAAGAATCTTTAAATATTTTGTGGTTGATCATTGCTATTCCAAAGATTAATTTAAAACTTTATTTGTGATTAAAACTTAATTAACAGCTTAGAAAATTGCAAAAAACTAATTGAAGTGGAGAAAATTTTTGCCATTTTGTTTTTGTTTAAGAAAAATATGTGTCTTGGATAACTGTGTCTTAAATAACTGGGTCTTGGATGCAACTTCACTCCAGTCAAACTGAATCAATGTCAAAATCAAGTTTACCCAACAAAAATACGCAAAGCGAAAATTAAAATGAGAAATTTAATCATTTTCATTCAAATGTAAGTGAGGTGTCAAGGGACGTTAAGCTTGTAATGATGATTATCATTGTTTACGTACAGTGACAAGTTAAGCTTACACCATCGAATTAGACGTTTAATTATTGTTAATCGAGATAAGAGTCTGTGGAATTTAAAGTTTCTATGTTTACCTCATTAAAGTAGCTTGTCTATCGATGCGACATTTCAATTAATATTCAAACAATTTAAAGCATGTCCATCCCCTGAAAACGAAAGGAAAAATATAAACATTGTGATGTAAAATGATAAAAATGACATCAAAGCTCGCTCATAACCATTCATACCATCATGTATATCCATAAACGACAAAAAAAAAGAATCATAAAAACCATAACATTAATTACAGAATAGCTAAAGTTGGAATGGGAGGAGAGAAAAAAAATATTGCGGAATGTGACATAAACTTTGGAATCTCTGTTTCTGCTCATCAAGAAAAAGTTTTTCCATCATTTTTATGACATCGTGTTTGTTTAAAACAATAAAAATGCGCGCGAGTTTTCAATTTGTCGCTCATCTAAAGCCACAATTTTAATTTTCAAACTTCAGGCTTCGTCATTTTTTTTGTGTCTGCAGAAACGACACGAGATTTAATTACCGCTTTTTTCATTTAAAAGATGATGTTTGTTGCTTTTAAAATGATTCAACTTTGTGGCTTTTCATGAATGATGTCTAAATTTTGGTAGGGCTTCAATCTGGTCTCCGGTTCAGCACTAAAGAGTTTAAAACAGTTTTTTGACGTTCGGTACCTCGGCATATAGTAAGAATCACTATAACATCACTTCTTAATGAACCCCACATCCACAGCCCATCATGATGATGATAATGACAAAGTTTTCTCTAAGCACGGGGAAAATAAATGAACTATTGAAGCACTTAACAGAGACTTTTAATGTTCATATACCAACCCTATAAGAATGAACAAAATTCCTCATTCAGAACACTTTTAATATCTTGATAATAAATGTTAATGGTTTTAGCTGTTAAATCTTTTCAAACAACACTTTTCCTCTCTTCACTTCACTTTCCTCATTTCCATTCATTTCGTTTATTAAATACCATGATGAGGATGCCTTTAATAAGGGGATGTAGCGAATTCTTTATTTAATAAAAGATTTTTCTTTTTCATTCCGCTTGTTTCTGCGTTTTTTTTTCTCCCACACTCTTGAGTTATTGTCACTCATTTTCGTATGAGGCACACTGATTTCTTGTTTGGAAAGATGAGAAAAGAATAGAATTTTTTCCTCTTAATTTAACATGGAAAATAGGGGTTCGAGGAGGAAGTTTTTGTCTAATATGAACTGGTTGTGATTTTTAAGAACAATTGGGATTGATGCTTATGAGTCATTTTGTTAAATATTAGTCATTTTTTATTACACAATTGATAGAGCTTCTAAAACCTAGTAGTTAATTGAACAGACCTCAAGCTTGTTCTATTTTCTAGTAAAGGCTTGAGTTCAATTCCCACAAAAGTCCCATTTAAAAGTAATTTATAATTTAGTCAATAAATCAACTAAATGCTGTAAGTTCAAAATTCTTTGAAAAAAAAAATTTCTGAGTCCATGCAACTTAAATTTCAAGTTTCTAACCTCAAAAAAAAAAAATAATTCAACACTCTTTCATAACCAATCATGAAACTCATTAAAAACCATCTTAAAAACTTAAAAATTATCTGATCAAAAATATAAATCGTGCGAAGATAACAAGCCAGCTAGCAAAAGTCGTGGAACTCAAATGATAAAAATCAAAGAAAAGGTTGCACAATGGCAATCAGCAATCATATACAATCTTCACGACTCAATAAGTAAATCATGAAATGCAATTGATTTAATCTTTCAAACGTGCGACACCTGAGATTTATTTAAGCAACATTGTAATAGTAGAAAGACCGGAAGAAATTTTTCGGGGAATGGTAGTCAATGTGATTGAATTGATTGACGATAGTTTGTATCAATGGAATGGCATTTGTATTGAATAGGTTTAGAAGTCAAGATGGAAATGGTTGATTTGAATTCTTTAGCTTTTGGTCTTTATTGCTGTGCTTATGTTGCTGTAGAGTCGAATTTCACTATGAATCTAGCTAGTTGACAATAACTTTGATGATTTTTTGAATATTTCTGATAGTTCGAATCTTAACATGCTCTATGCCACCATATACTGAATTAAGTGTACCTAGATGAATTCGAGTCCATCCAAAGAACAGACCTGGTCTCTCATAAAGTCTCAAATCTCAAGTCTTTAATCCCAAAGAAACATATAATGAACCAGTAACCCCTAAAAATCAGGAAATAATCAAAAATATTCACAATTTCATTCACAATCTTAACATCCAAATCCTCAAGAACTCCTCCCACCCCAAAAATGAGAAAAAACAGAAGAATTTTTCTTCGACTAGAAAATGTAAATAAATTTTCCGTAAAGCAAATACTTTCGGTAATAAAAGATAGCATCAGACATTTCCGAAAAATGTTTCCGTTTAAATTTTGAAGGAATTTTGTGTTCTTCCTTCCCATTCTCATCGCATGCACGACAGAGTTTCACAAGAGTATCTTCTATTAAAATCCCTTAAAAGCAAGCACTTTCCCCTAATAATATCCAAAGATATAGATAAATACAAAACATTTTTAAAAAGAAGATGTAGAAGAGAATGATAATACGGAACCCCAAAATTTTATAGAACGGAAGTTGGAGAGCTCTAAAATTTTTCATACCGATGAGTTATGTACACGTACTCTGTGTAGAAATATAAATTTTATTATTTTTTTGCCTTCCTTCGTAAGAGCTCTGTGATGATGTTGATGATGATGG